TACAAAATTAATTATATCTTTAAAAGCAGAGGTACCATTTTTCTGCAAATTAGCTTAATCGAAAGAGGACACTTCAAACTTTCATTTAATGTCTTCATATTTATAGATTGGTCGATTAACTTAAAAGTTATTGAGTGTCAAAGTTCAGAAATTAATTTTCCTTTAAAAACGACATTTTTCTTATAAAAAGCATATCCCAGAAGTCAGAAAACAGTTTATATATAAATAACTTTCAATACAATACTCTAATAAGCACAATTATTTGAAAAAAATCGAAATTAATTTAAATTTATTAATTATTCAAAAAATCTGTACAAAGTTGGTTAATAGATGGCATACCATCTTAAATTAAATTCGCTGAAAAATTAAAATGGCACTGAAAAACATAATGTACAGTTGCAGAGTTATTGGTAAGTCCATGGTACTGCAAAAGAAAAGCTAACGTCGAATTTTTATTAAACTTGCTGCATCAAAGATATTATCAAAATAAGAAACTAGAATTTTTTCTAAAACGATTGATATACAATATTATATATCTTATTCGATTAACAAATTATATATAATTAAATTAAATGTGAACTAACTTGGGCATGCACAACAGTTGAAATTGCGTTGATGATATATATCGGATATTAAATATCAAAATATAGTTAGCGTCGAATTTTTATTAAGATTATTGCATCTAAGATATTATTTGAACAAAAAACTAGAATTTTTCTAAGCCAATTAATGTCTAATATTATATATATTGTTCGATTAACAAATTAAATAAAATTAATTAAATTATGCGATAACTTGTGAATGCAAAACAGTTTAATTTGCATTGATGATAAATTTGGGAAATTTAATGTCAAAATATAGTTAGCGTCGATTTTTTATTACGATGTCATTTCAAATTTTAATTAATTAAAACATTATTATTTAATTAAAAACTATGAAATAAAAGACAGATAACAGTAAAAAATATGTTTGGTTTTCTAAATATACTTAGTTTTTATATAGTATAGAGCAAATTTTCTTTAAAAATGGAAAGCAAAAATTTGTAAAAACGAGGTTGCATTACAAAATTAATTATATCTTTAAAAGCAGAGATATCATTTTTCTGCAAATTAGCTTAATCGAAAGAGGACACTTCTAGCTTTCATTTGATGTATTCATATTTATAGATTGGTCGATTAACTTAAAAGTTATTGAGTGCCGAAGTTCAGAAACTAATTTTCTTTGAAAAGAAAAACCTTTTATCTTAAAAAATCATATACCAGAGGACAGAAAAATTTTAGTACAGAATAAACTTTGAATATAATACACTAATTATTACAATTATTTAAAAAAAATGGAATATTCACATATTAATTATAATTAATTCAAATGTGCGCTTGCTTATTTATGCACAACAGTTGAAATTGCATTGATAAGTGTGGGATATTAAATGTCAAAATAGTTATCGTCGAACAGTTGAAATTGCACTGATGAAAAAGGGAAATGTAATGTCAAAATATAGTTAGCGTCGATTTCTTATTACGATGTTATTTCAAGTTTTATTTAATTAAAACATTATTATTTAATTAAAAACTATGAAATAAAAGACATATAACAGTAAAAAATATGTTTAGTTTTCTAAATAAACTTAGTTTTTATATAGTATAGAGCAAATTTTCTTTAAAAATGGAAAGCAAAAATTTGTAAAAACGAGGTTGCATTACAAAATTAATTATCTCTTTAAAAGCAGAGGTACCATTTTTCTGCAAATTAGCTTAATCGAAAGAGGACACTTCTAGCTTTCATTTGATGTATTCATATTTATAGATTGGTCGATTAACTTAAAAGTTATTGAGTGCCAAAGTTCAAAAACTAATTTTCTTTGATACAAAATTAATTATATCTTTAAAAGCAGAGATACCATTTTTCTGCAAATTAGCTTAATCGAAAGAGGACACATCAAGCTTTCATTTGATGTAATAATATTTATAGATTGGTCGATTAACTTAAAAGTAATCGAGTGCCAAAGTTCAGAAACTAATTTTCTTTGATACAAATTAATTATATCTTTAAAAGCAGAGATACTATTTTTCTGCAAATTAGCTTAATCGAAAGAGGACACTTCTAGCTTTCATTTGATGTATTCATATTCATAGATTGGTCGATTAACTTAAAAGTTATTGAGTGCCAAAGTTCAAAAACTAATTTTCTTTGATACAAAATAATTTATATCTTTAAAAGCAGAGATACCATTTTTCTGCAAATTAGCTTAATCGAAAGAGGACACATCAAGCTTTCATTTGATGTAATAATATTTATATATTGGTCGATTAACTTAAAAGTTATTGAGTGCCAAAGTTCAGAAACAAATTTTCTTTGAAAAGAAAAACCTTTTATCTTAAAAAATCATATACCAGAAGTCAGAAAAATTTTAGTACAGAATAAACTTTGAATATAAAACACTAATTATTACAATTATTTAAAAAAAATAGAATATTCACATATTAATTATAATTAATTCAAATGTGCGCTTACTTATTTATGCACAACAGTTGAAATTGCATTGATAAGTGTGGGATATTATTAAATGTCAAAAAAAGCTTAAATTTGGCTAATTTTAACAAAATAATAAACTTAAATTGACTCCGTTTTTCAATTCCGGCTTGATCCTCTCAGCGTCGTTGCTATCTAGGCTCAGGTTTTAAAATATGCTGTTAACTTCTTAATGTGAGCTATTGGCAACGCGTCTCTAATATGTGCATACATATGTTAAAAAAATTGGTAAATGTTTTACGAACTACGATATATCAGAGCATTTTAATGAATTATAAATTAATAAACTTTGAACTAAAATAAATTGTTATACTTAACTAACATTTTTGGTTTAAATGAAGAAGAATACGAAGCAAATTACCATTTCTTTGTAAATACTGAACACGAACAGTCGCTTTATTTGTATACGTGTCTTCAATCCTGAATCGTAAATAATGAAAGTCAAAAACATATGTTTATATTATTTTTAATCGAAATAAATTATAAAACGCTTCGTAAAAATCGAAGAGTTTATGGTAGCTTATTACAAATGAATGTTGCAAAGTTATCAAACAAATTAAACAGTTAATTAAGTGCGAATCAGTCTAAGTTGATTTCAAAGTTCCATTAAAACTAAATGGTATAACTACACTTTACAGTTCATCTTTCAAATTATCACTATCTTCAGAGGGTGGAACACCACCAGCGCCTTGGTACAATTTAGCAATAATTGGTTGAACAATGCCTTCTAAGTCTTTTTTCTGCTTTTTGTTTTCTTCTGCATCTACATCCACGTTTTGTTCCATCCATTTAATGGTCTCATCAATGGCAGATTCAATTTTTGTTTTCTCGTCATCGTTCAATTTGGCACCTAATTTTTCTTTATCGCTTATTTGGTTCTTTAAACTATATGCATACGATTCTAACTCAGTACGCGAATCGACTTTCTCTTTTAATTTTTTGTCTTCGTCGGCAAACTTTTCAGCGTCGCGAATCATGCGATCAATATCCTCAGGTTTCAAAGTTTATTCTGTACTAAAATTTTTCTGTCCTCTGGTATATGATTTTTTAAGATAAAAGGTTTTTCTTTTCAAAGAAAATTAGTTTCTGAACTTTGGCACTCGATTACTTTTAAGTTAATCGACCAATCTATAAATGTTATTACATCAAATGAAAGCTTGATGTGTCCTCTTTCGATTAAGCTTATTTGCAGAAAAATGGTATCTTTGCTTTTAAAGATATAATTAATTTTGTATCAAAGAAAATTAGTTTCTGAACTTTGACACTCAATAACTTTTAAGTTAATCCACCAATTATTAAATATTATTACATCAAATGAAAGCTTGATGTGTCCTCTTTCGATTAAGCTAATTTGCAGAAAAATGGTACCTCTGCTTTTAAAGATATAATTAATTTTGTAATGTAACCTATTTTTACAAAATTTTATTTTCCTTATTTTGAAGAAAATTTTTTCTATATTATGTAAAAGGCGATTATATTTAGAAAAACAAACATATTGTTTATTGTTAGAAGCTTTTTAGTTCATAATTTTTGGTCAAGTAACAAAGTTTTAATTAAATAATGTTTGAAAATGACATCTCTATCTTCATCGCAGCACTGCTCCTAAGTTAATCAAACAACCTATACAAAATTTTGCATTATATGAAAGGTAATTTTATCCTCTTTCGAATGAGCTATAAAAGAAAAAAATGGTTTAAAAGTTATTAATAAATTAGTGATCCCATCTTTTGGAGCTGATTTTTATTTTTCATTTTTCATACAAATTACATCATTTACACATAAAAGTTGAATGTAGATAGTAAATTAATTAAATTTTCTACTTAATAGTGCCTTTTGCTGCATTAAATTTAATAAAATAATAAATTTTTCCTTAATTAAACTATACTGCATTTTTCATGCGGCGAAAAATGTTCCAATTCCATTTTGGACTTATCGTCGACGCTACCTTCACGCACATTGTTTTTTAATGATTTTTTAAGTAAAAAAAGTCAGTTTTTTCAAAAAATATGATTTTTTTATTTTTTGAATATCTCAGCTATTACGCAACATACAGATATGGGGTGTATACCAAATGAAAGATAATTGAATTTTCTATCTAAATCATATTTCATACTTGGTGAAAAAGCTTAAATTTGGCTAATTTTGACAAATTAATAAACTTAGAAAAATTTCGTGTTCCAATTCCGGCTTGGTCCCCTCAGCGTCGTTGCTATCTAGGCTCAGGTAAAAATTCCTCATTTTTATTGTAATTTCTATGATATAATTGAAATATTTTGTTGATATTTTACAATTATGCATTATATTGTATATCTAAACATTTTTCATCCTTACTTTTTTAAAAACAAGTGTTTTAAAAGAAATAATAATTTTCATGTTTGATTAAATTTCCTGGGGTGAAGACAAAATGAATCTTTCTCATTTATGTTGCAATTGGAAGTGTGTTTTATTATCTTTAAAGGTTTTTGTGTGCAATTGGATCTTTATTATAGTTCTTTTTTAATTAATATTTTTAAGTATGAAAGTCGCTTTTTCTCTTCAAATATTCATTAATTCATTTATTCGCAAACTTGCGTAAAAAAATACAAACATCTTATTGATACTTGAAATTTAGATGGCGCTGGCACGCCTGCCTGGAGTTTGCTCCGAATTTGGCGCTGTGAGGTGGAGGTATTTTTCAAATAATTGGATTTTAGGTAAAAAATGGACAGTTTTTAAAAAATAATTGTGAAAACAGTTTTTTCACAATTTCTACGATTTTTATGATTTTAAGGTTTTTGGAAAGGAAATTTTATTGTCTTTGAAAAAAAATTGATTATCAGAAGCGGTCGAAAAAATTTGAGATTTCTTGGTAGGAATTACAGTATTACGTTGAATTAATTTCGAATGAGCCATAAAAGAAAAAAATGGTACCTCTAGTTTAAAAGTTATTAATAAATTAGTGACCCCATCTTTTGGGGCTGATTTTTATTTTTCATTTTTCATACAAATTACATCATTTACACATAAAAGTTGAATGTAGATAGTAAATTAATTAAATTTTCTACTTAATAATGCCTTTTGCTGCATTAAATTTAATAAAATAATAAATTTTTCCTTAATTAAACTATACTGCATTTTTCATGCGGCGAAAAATGTTCCAATTCCATTTTGGACTTATCGTCGACGCTATCTTCACGCACATCATTTAAATTAATTGTACTTAATATGTGAATATTCTATTTTTTTTAAATAATTGTAATAATTAGTGTATTATATTCAAAGTTTATTCTGTACTAAAATTTTTCTGTCCTCTGGTATATGATTTTTTAAGATAAAAGGTTTTTCTTTTCAAAGAAAATTAGTTTCTGAACTTTGGCACTCGATTACTTTTAAGTTAATCGACCAATCTATAAATGTTATTACATCAAATGAAAGCTTGATGTGTCCTCTTTCGATTAAGCTTATTTGCAGAAAAATGGTATCTTTGCTTTTAAAGATATAATTAATTTTGTATCAAAGAAAATTAGTTTCTGAACTTTGACACTCAATAACTTTTAAGTTAATCGACCAATCTATAAATATGAAGACATTAAATGAAAGTTTGAAGTGTCCTCTTTCGACTAAGCTAATTTGCAGAAAAATGGTACCTCTGCTTTTAAAGATATAATTAATTTTGTAAAGTAACCTATTTTTACAAAATTTTATTTTCCTTATTTTGAAGAAAATTTTTTCTATATTATGTAAAAAGCGATTATATTTAGAAAAACAAACATATTGTTTATTGTTAGAAGCTTTTTAGTTCATAATTTTTGGTCAAGTAACAAAGTTTTAATTAAATAATGTTTGAAAATGACATCTCTATCTTCATCGCAGTACTGCTCCTAAGTTAATCAAACAACCTATACAAAATTTTGCATTATATGAAAGGTAATGTTATCCTCTATCGAATGAGCCATAAAAGAAAAAAATGGTACCTCTAGTTTAAAAGTTATTAATAAATTAGTGACCCCATCTTTTGGGGCTGATTTTTATTTTTCATTTTTCATGCAAACTACATCATTTACACATAAAAGTTGAATGTAGATAGTAAATTAATTAAATTTTCTACTTAATAATGCCTTTTGCTGCATTAAATTTAATAAAATAATAAATTTTTTCTTAATTAAACTATACTGCATTTTTCACGCGGCGAAAAATGTTCCAATTCCATTTTGGACTTATCGTCGACGCTACCTTCACGCACATTGTTTTTTAATGATTTTTTAAGTAAAAAAAGTCAGTTTTTTCAAAAAATTTGATTTTTTTATTTTTTGAATATCTCAGCTATTACGCAACATACAGATATGGGGTGTATACCAAATGAAAGATAATTGAATTTTCTATCTAAATCATATTTCATACTTGGTGAAAAAGCTTAAATTTGGCTAATTTTGACAAATTAATAAACTTAGAAAAATTTCGTGTTCCAATTCCGGCTTGGTCCCCTCAGCGTCGTTGCTATCTAGGCTCAGGTAAAAATTCCTCATTTTTATTGTAATTTCTATGATATAATTGAAATATTTTGTTGATATTTTACAATTATGCATTATATTGTATATCTAAACATTTTTCATCCTTACTTTTTTAAAAACAAGTGTTTTAAAAGAAATAATAATTTTCATGTTTGATGAAATTTCCTGGGGTGAAGACAAAATGAATCTTTCTCATTTATGTTGCAATTGGAAGTGTGTTTTATTATCTTTAAAGGTTTTTGTGTGCAATTGGATCTTTATTATAGTTCTTTTTTAATTAATATTTTTAAGTATGAAAGTCGCTTTTTCTCTTCAAATATTCATTAATTCATTTATTCGCAAACTTGCGTAAAAAAATACAAACATCTTATTGATACTTGAAATTTAGATGGCGCTGGCACGCCTGCCTGGAGTTTGCTCCGAATTTGGCGCTGTGAGGTGGAGGTATTTTTCAAATAATTGGATTTTAGGTAAAAAATGGACAGTTTTTAAAAAATAATTGTGAAAACAGTTTTTTCACAATTTCTACGATTTTTATGATTTTAAGGTTTTTGGAAAGGAAATTTTATTGTCTTTGAAAAAAAATTAATTTCATTGCGGTGCACACGCGGATATAATGATTACAGTAAAGTAAGCTAAAAAAATGCTATTTTTTTACCAATTTTTTAATATAAAATTAAAATATCTAATTGAGGTTTTAAAATTGTGTTTTGTGATGTATTTCTGAACATTTTGCATTTTTAGTTTTTTGATTTGGATGATATTTAAGCTGTTTTGATATCGAACTTTAATACGATTTTGCCCAAATTCTGTATGTATAATTTTTCTGATTTTTACTTTAATTAAAACCTAGTTTTATTATCTTTCAAGTGAATATTCGTACATGTCGGGGCCGTTTGTGGTTGTTTTTTTAATAATTTTTTAAGTAAAAAAGTCAGTTTTTTCAAAAAATTTGATTTTTTATTTTTTGAATATCTCAGCTATTACGCAACATACAGTTATGAGGTATATACCAAATCAAAGATAATTGAATTTTCTATCTAAATCATATCGCTAACTTGTTGAAAAAGCTTAAATTTGGCTAATTTTAACAAAATAATAAACTTAAATTGACTCCGTTTTTCAATTCCGGCTTGATCCTCTCAGCGTCGTTGCTATCTAGGCTCAGGTTTTAAAATATGCTGTTAACTTCTTAATGTGAGCTATTGGCAACGCGTCTCTAATATGTGCATACATATGTTAAAAAAAATTGGTAAATGTTTTACGAACTACGATATATCAGAGCATTTTAATGAATTATAAATTAATAAACTTTGAACTAAAATAAATTGTTATACTTAACTAACATTTTTGGTTTAAATGAACAAGAATACGAAGCAAATTACCATTTCTTTGTAAATACTGAACACGAACAGTCGCTTTATTTGTATACGTGTCTTCAATCCTGAATTGTAAATAATGAAAGTCAAAAACATATGTTTATATTATTTTTAATCGAAATAAATTATAAAACGCTTCGTAAAAATCGAAGAGTTTATGGTAGCTTATTACAAATGAATGTTGCAAAGTTATCAAACAAATTAAACAGTTAATTAAGTGCGAATCAGTCTAAGTTGATTTCAAAGTTCCATTAAAACTAAATGGTATAACTACACTTTACAGTTCATCTTTCAAATTATCACTATCTTCAGAGGGTGGAACACCACCAGCGCCTTGGTACAATTTAGCAATAATTGGTTGAACAATGCCTTCTAAGTCTTTTTTCTGCTTTTTGTTTTCTTCTGCATCTACATCCACGTTTTGTTCCATCCATTTAATGGTCTCATCAATGGCAGATTCAATTTTTGTTTTCTCGTCATCGTTCAATTTGGCACCTAATTTTTCTTTATCGCTTATTTGGTTCTTTAAACTATATGCATACGATTCTAACTCAGTACGCGAATCGACTTTCTCTTTTAATTTTTTGTCTTCGTCGGCAAACTTTTCAGCGTCGCGAATCATGCGATCAATATCCTCAGGTGTCAAACGATTTTGATCATTTGTTATGACAATTTTTTCTTTATTGCCAGTTCCTTTATCTTCAGCACTTACTTGCAAAATGCCGTTAGCATCAATTTCAAAGGATACTTCAATTTGTGGAATACCGCGTGGAGCTGGTGGAATTCCAGTTAAATCAAATTTACCTAACAAATGATTATCTTTTGTCATTGGTCGTTCACCTTCATATACTTGAATAGTGACTGTATGTTGATTATCAGAAGCGGTCGAAAAAATTTGAGATTTCTTGGTAGGAATTACAGTATTACGTTGAATTAATTTCGAATGAGCCATAAAAGAAAAAAATGGTACCTCTAGTTTAAAAGTTATTAATAAATTAGTGACCCCATCTTTTGGGGCTGATTTTTATTTTTCATTTTTCATACAAATTACATCATTTACACATAAAAGTTGAATGTAGATAGTAAATTAATTAAATTTTCTACTTAATAATGCCTTTTGCTGCATTAAATTTAATAAAATAATAAATTTTTCCTTAATTAAACTATACTGCATTTTTCATGCGGCGAAAAATGTTCCAATTCCATTTTGGACTTATCGTCGACGCTATCTTCACGCACATCATTTAAATTAATTGTACTTAATATGTGAATATTCTATTTTTTTTAAATAATTGTAATAATTAGTGTATTATATTCAAAGTTTATTCTGTACTAAAATTTTTCTGTCCTCTGGTATATGATTTTTTAAGATAAAAGGTTTTTCTTTTCAAAGAAAATTAGTTTCTGAACTTTGGCACTCGATTACTTTTAAGTTAATCGACCAATCTATAAATGTTATTACATCAAATGAAAGCTTGATGTGTCCTCTTTCGATTAAGCTTACTTGCAGAAAAATGGTATCTTTGCTTTTAAAGATATAATTAATTTTGTATCAAAGAAAATTAGTTTCTGAACTTTGACACTCAATAACTTTTAAGTTAATCCACCAATTATTAAATATTATTACATCAAATGAAAGCTTGAAGTGTCCTCTTTCGATTAAGCTAATTTGCAGAAAAATGGTACCTCTGCTTTTAAAGATATAATTAATTTTGTAATGTAACCTATTTTTACAAAATTTTATTTTCCTTATTTTGAAGAAAATTTTTTCTATATTATGTAAAAGGCGATTATATTTAGAAAAACAAACATATTGTTTATTGTTAGAAGCTTTTTAGTTCATAATTTTTGGTCAAGTAACAAAGTTTTAATTAAATAATGTTTGAAAATGACATCTCTATCTTCATCGCAGCACTGCTCCTAAGTTAATCAAACAACCTATACAAAATTTTGCATTATATGAAAGGTAATGTTATCCTCTTTCGAATGAGCCATAAAAGAAAAAAATGGTTTAAAAGTTATTAATAAATTAGTGATCCCATCTTTTGGAGCTGATTTTTATTTTTCATTTTTCATACAAATTACATCATTTACACATAAAATTTGAATGTAGATAGTAAATTAATTAAATTTTCTACTTAATAATGCCTTTTGCTGCATTAAATTTAATAAAATAATAAATTTTTCCTTAATTAAACTATACTGCATTTTTCACGCGGCGAAAAATGTTCCAATTCCATTTTGGACTTATCGTCGACGCTACCTTCACGCACATTGTTTTTTAATGATTTTTTAAGTAAAAAAAGTCAGTTTTTTCAAAAAATTTGATTTTTTTATTTTTTGAATATCTCAGCTATTACGCAACATACAGATATGGGGTGTATACCAAATGAAAGATAATTGAATTTTCTATCTAAATCATATTTCATACTTGGTGAAAAAGCTTAAATTTGGCTAATTTTGACAAATTAATAAACTTAGAAAAATTTCGTGTTCCAATTCCGGCTTGGTCCCCTCAGCGTCGTTGCTATCTAGGCTCAGGTAAAAATTCCTCATTTTTATTGTAATTTCTATGATATAATTGAAATATTTTGTTGATATTTTACAATTATGCATTATATTGTATATCTAAACATTTTTCATCCTTACTTTTTTAAAAACAAGTGTTTTAAAAGAAATAATAATTTTCATGTTTGATTAAATTTCCTGGGGTGAAGACAAAATGAATCTTTCTCATTTATGTTGCAATTGGAAGTGTGTTTTATTATCTTTAAAGGTTTTTGTGTGCAATTGGATCTTTATTATAGTTCTTTTTTAATTAATATTTTTAAGTATGAAAGTCGCTTTTTCTCTTCAAATATTCATTAATTCATTTATTCGCAAACTTGCGTAAAAAAATACAAACATCTTATTGATACTTGAAATTTAGATGGCGCTGGCACGCCTGCCTGGAGTTTGCTCCGAATTTGGCGCTGTGAGGTGGAGGTATTTTTCAAATAATTGGATTTTAGGTAAAAAATGGACAGTTTTTAAAAAATAATTGTGAAAACAGTTTTTTCACAATTTCTACGATTTTTATGATTTTAAGGTTTTTGGAAAGGAAATTTTATTGTCTTTGAAAAAAAATTAATTTCATTGCGGTGCACACGCGGATATAATGATTACAGTAAAGTAAGCTAAAAAAATGCTATTTTTTACCAATTTTTTAATATAAAATTAAAATATCTAATTGAGGTTTTAAAATTGTGTTTTGTGATGTATTTCTGAACATTTTGCATTTTTAGTTTTTTGATTTGGATGATATTTAAGCTGTTTTGATATCGAACTTTAATACGATTTTGCCCAAATTCTGTATGTATAATTTTTCTGATTTTTACTTTAATTAAAACCTAGTTTTATTATCTTTCAAGTGAATATTCGTACATGTCGGGGCCGTTTGTGGTTGTTTTTTTAATAATTTTTTAAGTAAAAAAGTCAGTTTTTTCAAAAAATTTGATTTTTTATTTTTTGAATATCTCAGCTATTACGCAACATACAGTTATGAGGTATATACCAAATCAAAGATAATTGAATTTTCTATCTAAATCATATCGCTAACTTGTTGAAAAAGCTTAAATTTGGCTAATTTTAACAAAATAATAAACTTAAATTGACTCCGTTTTTCAATTCCGGCTTGATCCTCTCAGCGTCGTTGCTATCTAGGCTCAGGTTTTAAAATATGCTGTTAACTTCTTAATGTGAGCTATTGGCAACGCGTCTCTAATATGTGCATACATATGTTAAAAAAAATTGGTAAATGTTTTACGAACTACGATATATCAGAGCATTTTAATGAATTATAAATTAATAAACTTTGAACTAAAATAAATTGTTATACTTAACTAACATTTTTGGTTTAAATGAACAAGAATACGAAGCAAATTACCATTTCTTTGTAAATACTGAACACGAACAGTCGCTTTATTTGTATACGTGTCTTCAATCCTGAATTGTAAATAATGAAAGTCAAAAACATATGTTTATATTATTTTTAATCGAAATAAATTATAAAACGCTTCGTAAAAATCGAAGAGTTTATGGTAGCTTATTACAAATGAATGTTGCAAAGTTATCAAACAAATTAAACAGTTAATTAAGTGCGAATCAGTCTAAGTTGATTTCAAAGTTCCATTAAAACTAAATGGTATAACTACACTTTACAGTTCATCTTTCAAATTATCACTATCTTCAGAGGGTGGAACACCACCAGCGCCTTGGTACAATTTAGCAATAATTGGTTGAACAATGCCTTCTAAGTCTTTTTTCTGCTTTTTGTTTTCTTCTGCATCTACATCCACGTTTTGTTCCATCCATTTAATGGTCTCATCAATGGCAGATTCAATTTTTGTTTTCTCGTCATCGTTCAATTTGGCACCTAATTTTTCTTTATCGCTTATTTGGTTCTTTAAACTATATGCATACGATTCTAACTCAGTACGCGAATCGACTTTCTCTTTTAATTTTTTGTCTTCGTCGGCAAACTTTTCAGCGTCGCGAATCATGCGATCAATATCCTCAGGTGTCAAACGATTTTGATCATTTGTTATGACAATTTTTTCTTTATTGCCAGTTCCTTTATCTTCAGCACTTACTTGCAAAATGCCGTTAGCATCAATTTCAAAGGATACTTCAATTTGTGGAATACCGCGTGGAGCTGGTGGAATTCCAGTTAAATCAAATTTACCTAACAAATGATTATCTTTTGTCATTGGTCGTTCACCTTCATATACTTGAATAGTGACTGTATGTTGATTATCAGAAGCGGTCGAAAAAATTTGAGATTTCTTGGTAGGAATTACAGTATTACGTTGAATTAATTTCGAATGAGCCATAAAAGAAAAAAATGGTACCTCTAGTTTAAAAGTTATTAATAAATTAGTGACCCCATCTTTTGGGGCTGATTTTTATTTTTCATTTTTCATACAAATTACATCATTTACACATAAAAGTTGAATGTAGATAGTAAATTAATTAAATTTTCTACTTAATAATGCCTTTTGCTGCATTAAATTTAATAAAATAATAAATTTTTCCTTAATTAAACTATACTGCATTTTTCATGCGGCGAAAAATGTTCCAATTCCATTTTGGACTTATCGTCGACGCTATCTTCACGCACATCATTTAAATTAATTGTACTTAATATGTGAATATTCTATTTTTTTTAAATAATTGTAATAATTAGTGTATTATATTCAAAGTTTATTCTGTACTAAAATTTTTCTGTCCTCTGGTATATGATTTTTTAAGATAAAAGGTTTTTCTTTTCAAAGAAAATTAGTTTCTGAACTTTGGCACTCGATTACTTTTAAGTTAATCGACCAATCTATAAATGTTATTACATCAAATGAAAGCTTGATGTGTCCTCTTTCGATTAAGCTTACTTGCAGAAAAATGGTATCTTTGCTTTTAAAGATATAATTAATTTTGTATCAAAGAAAATTAGTTTCTGAACTTTGACACTCAATAACTTTTAAGTTAATCCACCAATTATTAAATATTATTACATCAAATGAAAGCTTGAAGTGTCCTCTTTCGATTAAGCTAATTTGCAGAAAAATGGTACCTCTGCTTTTAAAGATATAATTAATTTTGTAATGTAACCTATTTTTACAAAATTTTATTTTCCTTATTTTGAAGAAAATTTTTTCTATATTATGTAAAAGGCGATTATATTTAGAAAAACAAACATATTGTTTATTGTTAGAAGCTTTTTAGTTCATAATTTTTGGTCAAGTAACAAAGTTTTAATTAAATAATGTTTGAAAATGACATCTCTATCTTCATCGCAGCACTGCTCCTAAGTTAATCAAACAACCTATACAAAATTTTGCATTATATGAAAGGTAATGTTATCCTCTTTCGAATGAGCCATAAAAGAAAAAAATGGTTTAAAAGTTATTAATAAATTAGTGATCCCATCTTTTGGAGCTGATTTTTATTTTTCATTTTTCATACAAATTACATCATTTACACATAAAATTTGAATGTAGATAGTAAATTAATTAAATTTTCTACTTAATAATGCCTTTTGCTGCATTAAATTTAATAAAATAATAAATTTTTCCTTAATTAAACTATACTGCATTTTTCACGCGGCGAAAAATGTTCCAATTCCATTTTGGACTTATCGTCGACGCTACCTTCACGCACATTGTTTTTTAATGATTTTTTAAGTAAAAAAAGTCAGTTTTTTCAAAAAATTTGATTTTTTTATTTTTTGAATATCTCAGCTATTACGCAACATACAGATATGGGGTGTATACCAAATGAAAGATAATTGAATTTTCTATCTAAATCATATTTCATACTTGGTGAAAAAGCTTAAATTTGGCTAATTTTGACAAATTAATAAACTTAGAAAAATTTCGTGTTCCAATTCCGGCTTGGTCCCCTCAGCGTCGTTGCTATCTAGGCTCAGGTAAAAATTCCTCATTTTTATTGTAATTTCTATGATATAATTGAAATATTTTGTTGATATTTTACAATTATGCATTATATTGTATATCTAAACATTTTTCATCCTTACTTTTTTAAAAACAAGTGTTTTAAAAGAAATAATAATTTTCATGTTTGATGAAATTTCCTGGGGTGAAGACAAAATGAATCTTTCTCATTTATGTTGCAATTGGAAGTGTGTTTTATTATCTTTAAAGGTTTTTGTGTGCAATTGGATCTTTATTATAGTTCTTTTTTAATTAATATTTTTAAGTATGAAAGTCGCTTTTTCTCTTCAAATATTCATTAATTCATTTATTCGCAAACTTGCGTAAAAAAATACAAACATCTTATTGATACTTGAAATTTAGATGGCGCTGGCACGCCTGCCTGGAGTTTGCTCCGAATTTGGCGCTGTGAGGTGGAGGTATTTTTCAAATAATTGGATTTTAGGTAAAAAATGGACAGTTTTTAAAAAATAATTGTGAAAACAGTTTTTTCACAATTTCTACGATTTTTATGATTTTAAGGTTTTTGGAAAGGAAATTTTATTGTCTTTGAAAAAAAATTAATTTCATTGCGGTGCACACGCGGATATAATGATTACAGTAAAGTAAGCTAAAAAAATGCTATTTTTTTACCAATTTTTTAATATAAAATTAAAATATCTAATTGAGGTTTTAAAATTGTGTTTTGTGATGTATTTCTGAACATTTTGCATTTTTAGTTTTTTGATTTGGATGATATTTAAGCTGTTTTGATATCGAACTTTAATACGATTTTGCCCAAATTCTGTATGTATAATTTTTCTGATTTTTACTTTAATTAAAACCTAGTTTTATTATCTTTCAAGTGAATATTCGTACATGTCGGGGCCGTTTGTGGTTGTTTTTTTAATAATTTTTTAAGTAAAAAAGTCAGTTTTTTCAAAAAATTTGATTTTTTATTTTTTGAATATCTCAGCTATTACGCAACATACAGTTATGAGGTATATACCAAATCAAAGATAATTGAATTTTCTATCTAAATCATATCGCTAACTTGTTGAAAAAGCTTAAATTTGGCTAATTTTAACAAAATAATAAACTTAAATTGACTCCGTTTTTCAATTCCGGCTTGATCCTCTCAGCGTCGTTGCTATCTAGGCTCAGGTTTTAAAATATGCTGTTAACTTCTTAATGTGAGCTATTGGCAACGCGTCTCTAATATGTGCATACATATGTTAAAAAAAATTGGTAAATGTTTTACGAACTACGATATATCAGAGCATTTTAATGAATTATAAATTAATAAACTTTGAACTAAAATAAATTGTTATACTTAACTAACATTTTTGGTTTAAATGAACAAGAATACGAAGCAAATTACCATTTCTTTGTAAATACTGAACACGAACAGTCGCTTTATTTGTATACGTGTCTTCAATCCTGAATTGTAAATAATGAAAGTCAAAAACATATGTTTATATTATTTTTAATCGAAATAAATTATAAAACGCTTCGTAAAAATCGAAGAGTTTATGGTAGCTTATTACAAATGAATGTTGCAAAGTTATCAAACAAATTAAACAGTTAATTAAGTGCGAATCAGTCTAAGTTGATTTCAAAGTTCCATTAAAACTAAATGGTATAACTACACTTTACAGTTCATCTTTCAAATTATCACTATCTTCAGAGGGTGGAACACCACCAGCGCCTTGGTACAATTTAGCAATAATTGGTTGAACAATGCCTTCTAAGTCTTTTTTCTGCTTTTTGTTTTCTTCTGCATCTACATCCACGTTTTGTTCCATCCATTTAATGGTCTCATCAATGGCAGATTCAATTTTTGTTTTCTCGTCATCGTTCAATTTGGCACCTAATTTTTCTTTATCGCTTATTTGGTTCTTTAAACTATATGCATACGATTCTAACTCAGTACGCGAATCGACTTTCTCTTTTAATTTTTTGTCTTCGTCGGCAAACTTTTCAGCGTCGCGAATCATGCGATCAATATCCTCAGGTGTCAAACGATTTTGATCATTTGTTATGACAATTTTTTCTTTATTGCCAGTTCCTTTATCTTCAGCACTTACTTGCAAAATGCCGTTAGCATCAATTTCAAAGGATACTTCAATTTGTGGAATACCGCGTGGAGCTGGTGGAATTCCAGTTAAATCAAATTTACCTAACAAATGATTATCTTTTGTCATTGGTCGTTCACCTTCATATACTTGAATAGTGACTGTATGTTGATTATCAGAAGCGGTCGAAAAAATTTGAGATTTCTTGGTAGGAATTACAGTATTACGTTGAATTAATTTCGAATGAGCCATAAAAGAAAAAAATGGTACCTCTAGTTTAAAAGTTATTAATAAATTAGTGACCCCATCTTTTGGGGCTGATTTTTATTTTTCATTTTTCATACAAATTACATCATTTACACATAAAAGTTGAATGTAGATAGTAAATTAATTAAATTTTCTACTTAATAATGCCTTTTGCTGCATTAAATTTAATAAAATAATAAATTTTTCCTTAATTAAACTATACTGCATTTTTCATGCGGCGAAAAATGTTCCAATTCCATTTTGGACTTATCGTCGACGCTATCTTCACGCACATCATTTAAATTAATTGTACTTAATATGTGAATATTCTATTTTTTTTAAATAATTGTAATAATTAGTGTATTATATTCAAAGTTTATTCTGTACTAAAATTTTTCTGTCCTCTGGTATATGATTTTTTAAGATAAAAGGTTTTTCTTTTCAAAGAAAATTAGTTTCTGAACTTTGGCACTCGATTACTTTTAAGTTAATCGACCAATCTATAAATGTTATTACATCAAATGAAAGCTTGATGTGTCCTCTTTCGATTAAGCTTACTTGCAGAAAAATGGTATCTTTGCTTTTAAAGATATAATTAATTTTGTATCAAAGAAAATTAGTTTCTGAACTTTGACACTCAATAACTTTTAAGTTAATCCACCAATTATTAAATATTATTACATCAAATGAAAGCTTGAAGTGTCCTCTTTCGATTAAGCTAATTTGCAGAAAAATGGTACCTCTGCTTTTAAAGATATAATTAATTTTGTAATGTAACCTATTTTTACAAAATTTTATTTTCCTTATTTTGAAGAAAATTTTTTCTATATTATGTAAAAGGCGATTATATTTAGAAAAACAAACATATTGTTTATTGTTAGAAGCTTTTTAGTTCATAATTTTTGGTCAAGTAACAAAGTTTTAATTAAATAATGTTTGAAAATGACATCTCTATCTTCATCGCAGCACTGCTCCTAAGTTAATCAAACAACCTATACAAAATTTTGCATTATATGAAAGGTAATGTTATCCTCTTTCGAATGAGCCATAAAAGAAAAAAATGGTTTAAAAGTTATTAATAAATTAGTGATCCCATCTTTTGGAGCTGATTTTTATTTTTCATTTTTCATACAAATTACATCATTTACACATAAAATTTGAATGTAGATAGTAAATTAATTAAATTTTCTACTTAATAATGCCTTTTGCTGCATTAAATTTAATAAAATAATAAATTTTTCCTTAATTAAACTATACTGCATTTTTCACGCGGCGAAAAATGTTCCAATTCCATTTTGGACTTATCGTCGACGCTACCTTCACGCACATTGTTTTTTAATGATTTTTTAAGTAAAAAAAGTCAGTTTTTTCAAAAAATTTGATTTTTTTATTTTTTGAATATCTCAGCTATTACGCAACATACAGATATGGGGTGTATACCAAATGAAAGATAATTGAATTTTCTATCTAAATCATATTTCATACTTGGTGAAAAAGCTTAAATTTGGCTAATTTTGACAAATTAATAAACTTAGAAAAATTTCGTGTTCCAATTCCGGCTTGGTCCCCTCAGCGTCGTTGCTATCTAGGCTCAGGTAAAAATTCCTCATTTTTATTGTAATTTCTATGATATAATTGAAATATTTTGTTGATATTTTACAATTATGCATTATATTGTATATCTAAACATTTTTCATCCTTACTTTTTTAAAAACAAGTGTTTTAAAAGAAATAATAATTTTCATGTTTGATGAAATTTCCTGGGGTGAAGACAAAATGAATCTTTCTCATTTATGTTGCAATTGGAAGTGTGTTTTATTATCTTTAAAGGTTTTTGTGTGCAATTGGATCTTTATTATAGTTCTTTTTTAATTAATATTTTTAAGTATGAAAGTCGCTTTTTCTCTTCAAATATTCATTAATTCATTTATTCGCAAACTTGCGTAAAAAAATACAAACATCTTATTGATACTTGAAATTTAGATGGCGCTGGCACGCCTGCCTGGAGTTTGCTCCGAATTTGGCGCTGTGAGGTGGAGGTATTTTTCAAATAATTGGATTTTAGGTAAAAAATGGACAGTTTTTAAAAAATAATTGTGAAAACAGTTTTTTCACAATTTCTACGATTTTTATGATTTTAAGGTTTTTGGAAAGGAAATTTTATTGTCTTTGAAAAAAAATTAATTTCATTGCGGTGCACACGCGGATATAATGATTACAGTAAAGTAAGCTAAAAAAATGCTATTTTTTACCAATTTTTTAATATAAAATTAAAATATCTAATTGAGGTTTTAAAATTGTGTTTTGTGATGTATTTCTGAACATTTTGCATTTTTAGTTTTTTGATTTGGATGATATTTAAGCTGTTTTGATATCGAACTTTAATACGATTTTGCCCAAATTCTGTATGTATAATTTTTCTGATTTTTACTTTAATTAAAACCTAGTTTTATTACCTTTCAAGTGAATATTCGTACATGTCGGGGCCGTTTGTGGTTGTTTTTTTAATAATTTTTTAAGTAAAAAAGTCAGTTTTTTCAAAAAATTTGATTTTTTATTTTTTGAATATCTCAGCTATTACGCAACATACAGTTATGAGGTATATACCAAATCAAAGATAATTGAATTTTCTATCTAAATCATATCGCTAACTTGTTGAAAAAGCTTAAATTTGGCTAATTTTAACAAAATAATAAACTTAAATTGACTCCGTTTTTCAATTCCGGCTTGATCCTCTCAGCGTCGTTGCTATCTAGGCTCAGGTTTTAAAATATGCTGTTAACTTCTTAATATGAGCTATTGGCAACGCGTCTCTAATATGTGCATACATATGTTAAAAAAAATTGGTAAATGTTTTACGAACTACGATATATCAGAGCATTTTAATGAATTATAAATTAATAAACTTTGAACTAAAATAAATTGTTATACTTAACTAACATTTTTGGTTTAAATGAACAAGAATACGAAGCAAATTACCATTTCTTTGTAAATACTGAACACGAACAGTCGCTTTATTTGTATACGTGTCTTCAATCCTGAATTGTAAATAATGAAAGTCAAAAACATATGTTTATATTATTTTTAATCGAAATAAATTATAAAACGCTTCGTAAAAATCGAAGAGTTTATGGTAGCTTATTACAAATGAATGTTGCAAAGTTATCAAACAAATTAAACAGTTAATTAAGTGCGAATCAGTCTAAGTTGATTTCAAAGTTCCATTAAAACTAAATGGTATAACTACACTTTACAGTTCATCTTTCAAATTATCACTATCTTCAGAGGGTGGAACACCACCAGCGCCTTGGTACAATTTAGCAATAATTGGTTGAACAATGCCTTCTAAGTCTTTTTTCTGCTTTTTGTTTTCTTCTGCATCTACATCCACGTTTTGTTCCATCCATTTAATGGTCTCATCAATGGCAGATTCAATTTTTGTTTTCTCGTCATCGTTCAATTTGGCACCTAATTTTTCTTTATCGCTTATTTGGTTCTTTAAACTATATGCATACGATTCTAACTCAGTACGCGAATCGACTTTCTCTTTTAATTTTTTGTCTTCGTCGGCAAACTTTTCAGCGTCGCGAATCATGCGATCAATATCCTCAGGTGTCAAACGATTTTGATCATTTGTTATGACAATTTTTTCTTTATTGCCAGTTCCTTTATCTTCAGCACTTACTTGCAAAATGCCGTTAGCATCAATTTCAAAGGATACTTCAATTTGTGGAATACCGCGTGGAGCTGGTGGAATTCCAGTTAAATCAAATTTACCTAACAAATGATTATCTTTTGTCATTGGTCGTTCACCTTCATATACTTGAATAGTGACTGTATGTTGATTATCAGAAGCGGTCGAAAAAATTTGAGATTTCTTGGTAGGAATTACAGTATTACGTTGAATTAATTTTGTCATAACTCCGCCAACAGTTTCAATACCCATTGTTAATGGATTAACATCTAGTAAAACAATAGCGTCAGTATCCTGTTCACCTGACAGGACACCTGCTTGTACAGCAGCACCATATGCAACAGCTTCATCTGGATTTATACCACGAGAAGGTTCTTTACCGCCAAAGAAATCTTTAACTAATTGTTGTACTTTAGGAATACGTGTAGAGCCACCAACTAAAACTATTTCATGTACATCCTTTTTATTCATATCTGCATCTTCCAATACTTTTTGTACAGGTTTTAACGTTGAACGGAAAAGATCCATATTCAATTCTTCAAATTTCGCTCGCGTTAAAGTTTCTGAAAAGTCTTCACCTTCAAAAAAAGACTCAATTTCAATACGTACTTGATGAGAGCCAGAAAGAGCCCGTTTTGCTTTTTCTACTTCACGACGCAATTTTTGTACAGCGCGGTTATCTTTACGAATATCTTTCCCCTTTTTCTTCTTATATAACTTGATAAAATGATCCATAACACGTTGATCAAAATCTTCCCCGCCTAAGTGAGTATCACCGTTTGTCGCGACTACTTCAAACACGCCGTTATCAATGGTCAAAAGCGAAACATCGAAAGTACCACCACCCAAATCAAACACCAAAACATTCTTCTCTCCCTCCTTCTTGTCTAACCCATATGCAATGGCTGCAGCAGTTGGTTCGTTGATTATACGCATAACATTCAAACCAGCAATAACGCCAGCATCTTTCGTGGCTTGACGTTGGGCATCATTAAAATAAGCTGGTACAGTAACAACAGCATGGGTTACCTTCTTACCAAGATATGCTTCAGCAGTCTCTTTCATTTTCGTTAACACCATAGCAGAAATTTCTTCTGGTGCAAAAATTTTATTGCCCTGTGATGTAGAAACGCTAATATGCGGCTTGGAATTCTTTTCAACAACTTTAAATGGGAAAAATTTAATATCATGTTGTACATTTGTATCTGACCATTCTCGACCAATTAAACGTTTGGCATCAAATACTGTGTTTTCAGGATTGGTAGTCAATTGGTTTTTAGCAGCATCGCCAATCAAACGCTCTCCATCTGCTGTAAATGCCACATAAGATGGTGTAATACGATTACCCTGATCGTTGGCTATTATTTCAACTCGTCCGTTCTTATAAACACCCACACTATAAAATAATAATTTAAAAATAAATTAAATTTAAAGTTATATTCTATTATATTCATTATTTAATATTTACTCACCAAGAATAAGTAGTACCTAAATCGATGCCTATTACAGTACCAATATCTTTATCCTTTTCCTTTTTCTCTTCGCCGATACAAAACCCAACAAGAGCTACTATGGCTAATATTACCAATAATCGCATGTTGAATTTGATGCTTATATTTAAATGGGTTACTGCAATGAATAAAACATGTTTACGTTACTTTTATTTTTAATAGAATATATAATTTTCGTGTTTTATAGATATTAAATTATTGAGATATTACACTGCATTATTTCTAAACTACTTACATCGTCCTCTCAATTAAATTTAATGCCCAATATTTGCGAAATCAATTTCTTTTGTAAGAAAGAATATTTAAATATCTGGGTACATTTCTAATAAAAAAAATTATCCGGGCAATTATATTATCCCAGGGTAAATTAGATTTATTAAGTCATGGCTAAATATAAGAAATACTCTTTATTTTAAAAAGCGTAATTCGACGAATAAAGTTTTATTAGTGCACTCTATCATTGATATGACGTGTACAAAAAGTAACATCAAGTTTGAGGTCAGCTCACGACATTGCTCTGGCATTGCAGAGCTTGAAACTGGAATCTTAAATACCGGACGTTGAACTTTTTTGTGTCTAATAAGGTCTTTAAAATTAAAAATTTAGTTTTTCCATTAAAATCCAATTTCAGCAATTTAACAATTTAAAAAAAATCCAAATTTTAATAAAAATGTTTGATTATGGATTCCAAATTTTAAACCGTAACAATTGTATAAATAAAATATTTACAATTATTTTCTATTAGATAATTTTAGGTACTATTTGATTAGTTTTAATATATATTTCGCTTGATTTCATATCATTTAAATAACTAAAAGCATTTTATTCACTTTATTGAAGAAACTTACCTCTTCAAAATATTTATTTTCCTTAACAAATTTTGCAACGTTTTATTATATTTCACGTGAATTCCGCGTTATTCTAATCCCACACCTTACTTTTCAACTTTTAATATACAACTAATTTGCTCTCTCTCATTGTTGGTTATTTTATTATTGGGAAAACTTTACGTGGTGTTTTCCCATTGGCTTAACAAATGACATTTTGTTACTTTTCTATTGGAACACGTCAATGCTGTTTACAATAAAAAAATAAGTGATGCCAAGAACTTATGAGATTTCCAGTCCATATAACAGAGTGATATAAAACTTAAAAGAACGTGTATTTTTTGTTAAATACAATATTATATTATTAGCTTAAATATTTCTTAAATCTGTATGATTTTAAAACTTTCGAGATTCTATATGAAAAATATAAAATATATTAATTTGGGTTGAATAGATGTCTAAAACGTAATAGATATTAATAAAAACGATAATTGAGCACAATTTTTTTATTCAGCTTAATGAAATTAATGACAACATATGTATATGATATATGCTATATAATAATTGCTTAATATTTGTTCAAACACACTTAATTTGGCAAAAATCTCAATTTCTTCTGCATAACGCTTATGAGAGAAGAGAAGATTTTTTATCCATACAAAAGATATTAATTTTAAACGAAATTATTTGTGTTTACTACATATGTATATATTACTATTTATGTATTTGTATTGTTATTATTAATAAAGTAAAATTTTAAATTTACTCCATGAACAATATATTTTAGGCAAAAACTCTGCTAGGAGTATGAAAATATTTATTTTCTGAATCCTGACTGATTAATAAGATCCAGTTCTTATACCTTTTCTGTATATTGACAACATATATATTGAAATTACGTTTAAGCGAGCCCTAAAATCCATTTTAAAATTAGTTTTCAGAGCGCTTACGCCCAAGAATTAATAGTACTTTTAAGGTAGCTGTCAATCAGCCAGCTGATAAGTGGTACACACAAATGCATTTTAAAACTGAATAGAGAAAAATTACGAATTGTTTTACTTTTATTGCAAAAAAAGGTTTTGTAACCACAACAATAGAAGAAAATGATAAAGCAACAATAAAAATTTTAGGAATATTCCGAATACAATTGTAAGGCCCAAATTTTACATTAAAATGTAGGCCCACAAACTAAATTAATAATAAACATAAGGGAAAATGATCACTTAATATATAATGAGTTTTTTTTAAAACATATTGTTAGATTAAATTAATTTTTTTGATAGATTAATGACCCTGTAGATTTCATATATTTCATTTTAATTAATGTTTCTATTAAAACCCATATTTTCTTCAATGAATGACCCTGTAAATTTCATATTTTTAATTTTAATCAATGTGTTTGAGTTTTGGCACAACAACCAGGCAGTATGGCATCTCTAATCTAGTGATTTTGAGAGTGGCATTTTAACATCTGGCAAGCAATAATTTTTGACTTCATTTTTTGCTTTTTCTTACTTGGATACTAGCGAGGTGTGCGCGCTGTTACTGGCTTCGTGAAATTACTTGTATTATTTTAGTCTAATTTTTGTGAATTAAATCAACATACAAATTTTTGCGTGTGTGAAATTAATTGTATTTGCTTTTTCATACACAATGCTTCTGTTAAAACCCATATTTTCTTCAATGAATGACCCTGTAAATTTAATATATTTTTTATTTAATTAATTTCTGTATGTAAATACAATTATTTTTTTTTAATGGATGACCCTGTAATCTAAACTATGTTTTGATTAGTTTTTTGCCGCTAGTAAAAGGTAAGTAAATTTGTTGTAACTATTTTTCTTGTTTGTTATGAAAAATATTGTGCACGCATTTTTTATGTGATGCATTTCTTTTTATTGATTTTGATTGCAATGCGTACAACAATAAGAAATTTGTTTTCACCAATTTACGGGGAGAAGCGTTAAGGTGCGCGCGCAAAAAATATGACCGCGTATTTTGATGTTTTTGTTGTAAGTTTATAAAGCAGAAAGTAACATAAACTTATCACAAATAATCGAGATAGTGACTCTTTACAAAATTTATAAAAATAACAGTGCCCGACTTAACATCAACAAAAATATTTTAATATAATTATATTGTTCTTATGTAAAAATAAGTGAATTTTTGCAGAATTGCTTTGTTTTCGAATTTGTTTAGTGGTCTCAAATTCACATGTATTTAAAAACAGCTGAAAAAGGCAGCAAATAAAGCTCTAAAGCTTAAAATAAAAAGTGTTGGAAACAGTCAAAAAATTAAACCAGTTATAATTTACAAAATCGTGTGATTGTGTAATTATATAGCTAAATAATAACTAATGCTATATAACTAAATTTATTAAAATGCGAAAGGACGCGTATTCAAACAAAAATAAATTTATTTATTTATATATATGAAATTTTAAATAATTAAAATATAATAAAATAAACCAACTGTAATTTTATTGTAAATCTACTGTAGGAGCGATAGCGAAAGCGTTGCACGTCGGCACTCTCTAATAAGTGAAAATGGCCTAAATAGCTACAAACACTAAACATAGATGACACTAAAATAATAGATCATTCTTTAACCAAACCTTTAGAAAAATGAAAAATTGAAACAAATATAACAAAAATAGCTAGTGAAATTGCCATCGCTAATAAACAGAAATTAATCTATAATAAAAACGAAAATTTAAAACGTAGTTCTCCAAACCAACACGCAACAATATGAAATGAAACTTTAGTGTAAACGCTATTGTTGATGAATCAACAAAAAAACTAACAACTAGGTCATGAGTTAATGGCTCATACCTGTTGCTTAATTTTTTGGTTGACGAATCAACAAAATAGTATGAATTAGGCCATAAGTTAAGCGCACGCATAGGTTGCTTAGTAAGCAATCTGTGCGAATTAAATAATAAATTAATTTAAGTAAATATTGTATATCTTGCAATTATTATTGCATTTTAATTTGTATAAAAGACCAATTTATTGTAAATAAAATCAGTTATTGACTTACAATCAATATCTCCGCATTCGTATATTGTTCCCCCCACCAGTGGTAAGGAACTTATAGTTTGTTAGTGAACATCGTTGTTCGTTTTGGTCCTTCGAGCCAGATATTTGAAATTTTCCCCACTAGTGGTAAGAGTTTCAAATATACCAAACTAAGAGACTTAAGTCTAAGATTGAATCAAGTACAAGCGTACCGAGGCTTTTAACATCGGAGTGAATTATATACAAGCGTACCGACGCTTTTAACGTTGGAGTGAAGTAAATACAAGCGTACCGAGGCTTTTAAACATCGGAGTGAAGTAAATACAAGTGTACCGAGGCTTTTAATATCGTAGTGAAGTAAATACAAGCGTACCGAGGCTTTTAAACAACGGAGTGAAGTAAATACAAGCGTACCGAGGCTTTTAACATCGGAGTGAAGTAAATACAAGCGTACTGAGGCTTTTAACTTTGGAGTGAAGTAAATACAAGCGTACCGAGGCTTTTAACATCGGAGTGAAGTAAATACAAGCGTACTGAGGCTTTTAACATCGGAGTGAAGTAAATACAAACGTACCGAGGCGCTTAAACATCGGAGTGAATACAAGCCAACCGAGGCTTTTAACATCGGAGTGAAATAAATACAAGCGTACCGAGGCTTTTAACATCAGAGTGAAGTGAATACAAACGTACCATCGAAGTGAAACGAGCAGAAGCGTACCGAAGCTTTCAACAAATACAAAGAACGAAGAGATAGACCAAGCTATCCAACAACAAAAGGAAATTGAAGGTGAGGTCCAGAGGATCTGGATAATTTTAAAAAGGATTCTACCACAAGATACTCAAGGCAGTATTTTGAGACGCAATTGGAAAATTTGAGTCAGAAATGGGACGCCTTTGAAGACAATAATGATAATCTGATCAAAAATTTGAAGCCTGATCATGAATATATCACAAAAAATTACTTTGGCCAGTTACAACAAAGACGGAATGAAATCGAGAATCGATATAATAATGAATTGAAACTACTAAGGCAAAGAGAGCAAGAGGAAGCTCGGTCATCAAGGAATCAAGACACAAGTATCAATGATGAAGTCACCATCACCGAGCCATGTGATATTACGAACAAACGTTTAGCAATCTTAAGTACAAGTCTGTTGCAGATCAAAGAGACAATAGACTTAACGAAAAGTATTGAAACATTACAGTTTAATCATTTAACAATAACAGCGAACAATTATACAGCGGCAGTTGAACTGGTGAAACAAAGACACAACAATCCAGCAATACTTGTGGACAATCTTTTTAATAAGTTACTGTCGCTCAGAGTAATAAGAAATGAAAATGCACAGGATTTAAAAACATTAATGGATGCTTCTAGAGAAGTGTTATATGGTATACGTAATTTAAATGTGGACACGTTAAGTTGGGGTCCACTAATAATACAGATACTACTTCCAAAATTAGATGGTGAAACCAGAAAATTATACCAATATTCAAGAGGAGCATCAACACAAACACCAAAATTGAACAGCTTATACGAGTTTATTGAGAGCAGAGTTAGAGGATTGGAGGCAACCATCAATTAATTTGATATTCAAAATTTCTAAATATGAAGATGCCGGAACGGCGTGAAAAGATTATGAGCGCCAAATTATGTTTTCATTGCCTTCAGAGTGGGCATTTTAGTAAGTTGTGCTTGAATAAAAAAAATTGTACAATTTGCGACAAAAAACACCATCATCTTAGGCATGAACAAGTTAAAGGCAAACCAACATTCACAAATAACATAAATAAACAGAAGATGCCAATACTGAAGAACACTAAGGAGACCGAAGTGGCAGCGTTGTACAACATCCAAAAGGAAAAAACTGTTTTACTAGCAACAGCAATGGTAATTATAAGGACTAAAAAACAACTTAATCCGATACGAGCGCTTCTTGATCAAGAATCTTAATCTTGTATAATAGCAGAAAAATTAGCAAGATCAATCAGAGCACCATTGACCAATTATCAAACTCATGTAAAAGGTATCAATGGGCAAACAACAAGCATTATAGCCAAATGCTCATTAGAAATTCAATCTATGCATGATAAGAATAAGAGCTGTCATATCGAAGCAATAGTGTCACCAAAAATCACATCAAAAATGCCAAATGCAGAATTCACGCCAGGAAAATGGTCGCATATCGATGGATTGCAGTTA